TTTTTTTTTTTTTTCTTTAATACAATCTTGTCTCGAATATTTTTTCTTTTTTTTTTTTCTTCAAATCTTATATATACTGCGCAGTCTCGTAAATGGCAAGGATATTTAATTATCGATCTTCGACCGACTTTTTCAAAGGATCACGTGTAGGAGGAAGCAGGAGAGGATGCGTGGGTATAGAATCGTTTCCGCCGACCATCGAAGAAGATGCATAAAGCGGCGGCCTTGATTTCTCGTTTACGCGCGCGGGAAGATCGTTCGTGAAATCGATCACAAGTTTTAGTTTAAATAATCAACTTTGACGCGCCTCTTCTTTTTCTGATATATTCGATAATTTTTCCCCTTTTTTTTCTCTCAATGCTACGCGCTTTTACCTTTAACTCCCCGCAATAAGAACGAAATAAGAACTCATGAAAATCGATCGAATGCGATTTTCTATGCGAGTTTTCGCGAGCGTTTCAATCCACAAACGATTTTTCACAAACGATCGATTATAAGCGAATTAACTTTGATTTAACGTGGATTCCTCGTGAAGTGCTTACAATTTCTTCGACAGATAAAAAAAGACAGGATGCAGCCTTCTGTTCGACCACCTGCTCTTCTCGAAAGAATTTTTTTTAAGTCATCCGTTCGAAGCAACCGTTGTTCGGATCGAAATCAAGTTCATTGTTTCGCCTTTCACGAACGGTTAAAAACTCGAAAAAGTTTTATTATTAAAATTAAAATCTACTTTATTTTATCCGGTTTTCCGAGAAGCATTTCCCCTACCAAGTTTCTAAACTGTCTGTTCTAACAGAGATCAAGCAAGATACCAGCGTGCCGTTCTCGTAAGTCATATCCCAAACGAGAGGAAATACGGGTGGAATACGCGCGAGCCACGGCCGATTGTTCGCCAAGATTGTTTCGCAACGGAGGCAGCCCGCTTAGGGGAGGGACAGTCGATACGCGATTAACAAGATATACGAAAGCTTTTGGAGTAGCCGGATTAAAACCGGATTAAAACCCGGTCGAAAATTATCCGTCCGTGTCAATTTACAACGGAACCGCGCCACCCACGCGTATAATAAATCCGTGCCCCGTTGTAAATTATAACGCGAGAACGGTAATCGTTGGAGGTACCACCCATACCACGATATTTCACCCCTTCCCAGCCGATGGCTGGCTGCCATTGTCTTGGACTTAACGAGACGGTTGCCTCGTTTAAATGGAATTATCCTGTCTCATTAAGCAAGGATCGACATATTTTTCGCTCGAGGGAGCACGAAACGAGAGTCCCTCGGGCTCTCTCTCTCTCTCTTTCTTCCTCGATGCGTTGCAACGAAACAACGTGTCCATCCACGGCCCCGTGGATTCGCGATAAACCTCGATTCCACACCCTCGGGATGCAATGTCCAAGAACTTATTAGACGCGCATCGACGATTTTATCGTGTGACCGAACGTTCCGTGAGACGTCTCGATGATGATTTCCGTCCGATTCGTTGCCTTCTTTTCGAGTAACGATCTCGGTCGAGAGAAAGAGAGAAAAAAAGAAAAATAAAAAACGGAGACTACTTTCTTTATCGTTTCTCAACGGTTCTGTGTCGTGAATCATCGACCAGGCTCCTCGTTCCTCCTCGTTCGACCAATGGATGACAAAAGATGGAGTCGAAAGAATTTCCAAGGAAGGCTGTGACTACTTTTCTACCCCTTTTTTTCCTGGGATCCATATCCCCTTCTCCTCTTATTTCCGACGATCCGTCACATTTTTCTTCTCTCTCGATGACTCAAGTCCATTTATATATATATAAAAATAACTCGTTTCGCGAGTTGCCTCGTCGAGGACACGTTTCATTGGCAGGATTTCGTGGTATTTTACAAAAAAAGAAAGAAAGAATAGATAAGAGGAAAGGATACCTTTTCTCGTTTCTCTCTATGGTTCTTCCTACGTATCAAACGACGGTGGCTTTTCCCTGTCTTTTCCTCAAACCATTCCTGAGCTCTTATTAAACCATGATGCGTTGTCATTAGGAACTGTGACCGAAGATCGGTAACCGACTTTTTGCTGGATTTCTTCGGTCGAAAAGCGAGGAGAGGCGATCCCCAATGAGGGGTCTGGAATGGGAAACGAGCCGATTAGAAGCATCGATCGTCTCCACCAAATCACTGTAATTAGACACGGGGTACGCGAACGAGACGAGAATCGGTTTGCTCGCTTGCTATCCGATGGATAGAGGATAATCGTAGCGCGGCTAAGTACGTACATTGTTATACCTGTCGTTCCGCTATAATTTCCCGTTTCTTATCGTAACGCGTGACGAGTGCGACCAGTGGAACCGATAATCCGATCGAGTACTACTTTCTGGTGAGGAGGAATCGATATATGATGGCAGTTGTAATAAAATTGAAAATAAAAAAAAAAGAAGGAAGAAAATAACGATCGAGAATCCCGAAATCCTAGTCGATCGAATTCTTCGTCTTCTACCCCAAGGATACACGAATACAATTGAAAATTCGATCGACAAATCTCTAAGATCGATTTAAGAATGCGTCAAAACGTTTATTCCATATACCTGGATAACAAGGATCTTTGTGACTTGATGGAACTTGATAGACCGGTTGAGAAAAGGATGAAATTAAAACGTATGAGAAGGTAGAATCTGAATTTCTGGGTGGCGATCGAGAGTCCCAGAATCCCGGTGAACTCGAGCGAGGTCGAGCTCACGTGGTCGTGTCGAGGTGGAGGAGGAGGAGGAGGAGGAGGACGCAGCGAAGGAGGAGGAGGTGGATTAACGGGAGAATCGANGCCTCGCCTCGAGGAGGACCGCAGGACGCGGAGGACAGCCGAAGGAGGCGACCGGGTGTGCGAAAGGAGAGGAAGGCAAGCGGCGTGGAAGTGGACGGGGGAGAGGAGAGCGACTGTGTGTGCGAGGAGAGGGGGAGGAGAAGGTGGTGGACAGAAGGTGATGGAGGGAGGGAGAGAGGAGCAACACGCTCTCCTCCGTGGTGCACACTCTCGTGGTGACTCCGACCGGCAAAGTGCTCGCGTTCGTGAAAGTCCACAGACGACTTTCAGG